CCGCTTCAAAGCACAGCCCAGCTGAGAATTCAAGGAGAGACGGAGGGGCGTGCTCCCAGGCTCTGGACCCCATTTCACAGGGACCTTTGTCTCTTTTGCCCCCGACCGCCTCCCTCGTGCCTGGTTCTATGCTCAGGGAAGACCAGCTGCTGAAGGGGTAGGTACATAACCCTAATAAACAGAAAGCCACGCTGTCCAAAGTGTACCTTCCTTGGGAGCCGGTAACAGGATTCTCCCAGAACTCTTGGGCTTAGAGGAACGATTTGAAAATGGTCCAAACCTCTCATTTTACAAACGAGGACACTGAGGCCCAGCAAAGAGCTTCGCCCAAGTTCCCGCAGTTGAAAAGTGAAGGCGTTGCCCCAGCTCCTGAAAACAGCCCAGGGACAGTTCACAGCACAGGGTACCAGTGAGGGCACCAGGTTTATACCCACCAGTCACTACAGACGGGTGGTACGACCCACAGAGGCACCGGCCAGGAGGGCCGCAGTCCTCACATGGGATCCTCGAGATCCTCCCAGGGGGTCCAAGAGAACAAAAGTGTTTTTCTAATAACACTAAGATGGTATCTGACTTTGACGCCTTTGTTTGTTCCTAAGAATATAGTTTTCCAGAAGATGCTCGATGTGATGACATCATCATCAAGGGCATGTGGCACTGTGTGTTCTTGTTTGAAAATGTCTCGGTATGGCTGACATGGTGAATAAGGAGCTCCCATGAACAAGAACCCTTTGGGGTCCTCAGTAATTGGAGTACAAAGAGGTCCTCGGATCAGGGTCTGGCTCTGCCATAGGGAGTAATGGCGGCAGTGGGTCGTGCTCACGCTCAGTCGCATCGCAGAGCCCTGTCAGCGTCCCTCCGGCGACCCTCTCACCCTGGCCCCCTGGCCCAGGATGCCCTCAGCTGATGGCGGAAATCTCACTAGGGAGATGCCTGAAAACGTCAAGAACATCTTTCAGGACTCTCACCCCATCGCCTGTCAGCCTAAGTGGAAACCCTGCACTAAGCGCTTGATTCTATGTGTTTCTCACTTGAATCTCACAGAAACGTAGACGTGACCATCTTGTCGTACAGACAGGAAACGAAGCCTCGGAGGGTGAAGTCCCCCGGCCAATGTTACCCGCTGAGTGCCAAGGTCAGGATTGGCATCTTGCTCTTACTCCAAGGCCCGGGGGTCTCCCTTTGTGCCAAGAATAGAAGACAAAGCTGGGGGTTCAGGCTCCCCCCCAGCAACAAACAGCTCACAGGATACATGGGGGGAGAGAGAAAACAGGAGAACCACTCACGCAATTTCCAGGCCGTCTTGTGACCACCGGGTGGCCATCCTCCAGCTGTCTGGCACTCGAAGCTCCACCCACAAAACAGACGGCTTTCCTCCAGGGGTGGGGGTGGATCCCCCCCAGATCCGCCAATCAAGTCGGCAGGGAGTCCCCCACACATCCAGGCAGAGGGAATGCCTTCCTCCGGGACCAACTCTTCGCTTTAAATCATCCACGGCAGCAGCCTGTCCGCGCCCGTCCGGATCCTGGATCATGGAATGTCAGGCTCGGGCCATCTCAGCTCAACACTGGGCTGGAACGCAAACAGAGGGATGGCTTTTTAGGAAACACTTTGGGGGGGGGGGGGGCTGGGGGGGAGGGGGACGGACCCTGATTTGCAGACTGCAGCTCCCTGCATCCCTGAGGCCACTGGATACAGACAGACAGACAGACACCCACCAAAGCCAGGAGCTGCACTGCAAAATGGGTTTGAGAAGCAGGAGCGGGGGCACCTCAGACAAGGTGCCCTGGAACCCAGGGGAAGGGAAGGTCCTCCCAGAGGCCAGGATGATGGGAGGAGCTGGCTGCTGGCTGTAGATGAGACAGATTTCTGAGAGTCACTGTGTGGTCTGACCGAGGCAGAGGGGGTGGAGTCAAGGCTAAGCTGGGGGGCCCATGAGAGGCACCCCGGAGACGGGTGCTGAAGTCTTCTCCGGGGAGAATGTCAAACGGGGCCCCGAGGATCCAACCCCCCGAGTTTGTGGCAAAGGAACCAACCCTGGTCCCCCAAATTCCCCAGGACGGTGCTAGGCACGAGCCGGTATGACTCCTCCGCCCTAAAAGGCCGCCCGACCTGCTTCCTCCCAGCCCTTTCCCCAGGAAACCTCTCCTCCGCACCCCTGCTGCCCCTGGGTCCCCCAGCCCTGCCCCTCTCGTCCTCCACCCCCCCTCCTTCCTCCCGCGCCCCCCATTCACACACATCTCGTCTCCCGAGCTCCCTAACGTGGCCCCTGCCTCGCCAGACCCCCTTTCCTCCGCGTTCCCCTCGGCCACCAGGATCCCCATTCATTCACTCTCCTGCTTCCGGCGTCCCTAGTCACCCCCCAGCCTCCCGCGGACCCCCAGCTCAGCTTCCGGCCTCCCCGGTTCTGCCCTCAGGCGTCCACGCCGGTCCCGCCCCTCCCGAGGCCAAGGCTGGTCCCTCGGCCTCCCCGGGTCCTCCCACTCCTCTCAGCCGGCGGGGAAGGGCGCCAACCTCCCCGCGCCGCAGCCCTCTCTCCGCCGCAGCCCGGCCCGGCCCCGCCTGGCTCGGCCCGGTCCGGGGCCCACCGGCCGTCCCCTCGCCTCCTCGCCCCCCGGCCCACTCCACCTGCAGCGGCGGCTCCCGAGGCCAAGGCTCTGCTCCAGGGGCGACCCCCACTTGCCTCCATCCCCTGCCCTGATTGGCCGCTGCTTGACAACCGACCCTCACAACAAAACCTCCGGCTCAGAGCCCCGCCCTCCCCAACTCTCCCGCCAATCAGCTGCCGCGGGAGCTCCGCCTCTTTCCAGTTTTGACCAATCGAAGAAGGCACTTCTGCCGCTTTTCCTAAGTTCCCGCCCTTTTTTCCTGAATTGGGCTAATCACGAGGAAGAAGGGTTCAAGGGCCACCCCTCGGCCCCTAATGAACCAATGCGGGCTGCCGTTTCCTTGGTCCCGCCTTCGCCTCAAACTTTCCCTTTCAGCCACCTTGCCTACTCGCCCTCTAACCTCGTTAGCGTTTGAAAAATTTGCGAGACGCCCTCCAATGGCGGCTGCACCAATCGCTTTAGCAACCGTCCCAGCTCGACCAATCAGCGTTCGCATTATTGGAAAACCAACTCCCAGATAGCCAATGGGAAGGGGACATCCGGACCCGAGTGAAGCCGTGGAGCTTCCATCTTGGAGTCGGGCAAAGCGGGGCGGTGTACTTAAGTCAGCATTTTGCACGGGTTCTCGCTCGTTCCCTTCACCTGTGGGCGGATCCGCGGGTCTGAGGACTTTTCCCTCCTCTTTGGCTCGAATCTCCCACCGGAGACCGGGAGAGAAACTGAGATTTCCTGATTCTGGGTCCGAGTCAGGCGTGGAGCCCGGGATTGCTGCCTCCACCGCCGACGCCTTCGGCGGATGGATGGCCGCTTCCTTAAAGCGCTGACCGACTGGGAACCCGAGAAACGCCGACTTCATTTGTGATCCGTGGGTGGGGGTGGCCTTAATCTCCACTGCCCTGCACCCTCTCTGCCAGAAAGAGGCAGCGTCCACCCATTACACTGTACTTGGGGACGCCGACTGCAGAGGCTTATGGGCACTGTCAAGAGAGGACCAGATTAGCAGAATAAAATCCGATCAGCACTGCCCACCCTGCATTTCTCAACCTTTTATATGAAAACGTCGTGGAGAACACTGGAAAGAATACTATAATGATATAGACTACTTCAATCATATGATGATCCATATACGTACCGTGTGGATTTCATCACTTGCTAACATTTTGCTATACTGATTGGCTTTATCCGTGTGTGTGTTTTCTGAACCATTTGCAAGTTGTGGACATCGAGACATTTCACCCTGACACTAATGCTACTGAGCGTGTAATTCTTAAAAATCAGACCCTTCTCCTGCATAATCATTGCATCAAGAAAACGAACAGTTGTTTTCCAGGGCAGATTTTCATAATCATCCCCAAAAACTATTTTTAATAACATTTTTCCTAATTAGGAAAGCATCAAGATTTGGCACTTGGCTCTTCTAAGCTCATTCGATTTCATCTCCCCCTCCCCCCCCCACTTTCTTAATGACTTTGATCTTTTGAAGAGATTGGGCCGTTTACCTTGTAGACTGTCCCACATTATAATTTTGCCGGACTTTTCCCTTCTAGTCTCATTTACCTTGTTCCTTTTCCTCTGAATTTCTTGTTAAATGGAAGTCAAAGCATGATTAGATTCATGATCACCGTTTTGAAACACTTTATGATGAAGTATAATACACATACCCCATATACTGTAAGGGTACGAGGTCGGTGAATTTTCACCATCTGAACATACTCAGGTCAAGAAGACTATTACCAGCTCCTCAGAAGTCCCCATATCATTCACGTGGTTGTAGTTTGTTCTTTCCACTGAGCCCAAGCGGGGTGTCTCAGCCTCCGTATTATTGACATTTTAGGCTACATAATTCTTGAGACCACCTGCGGAGGTGTTGCAAAGTTTCAGCATTCCCATGGAAAGGACAGGAAGTCAAGGAGGAAGGTGGCCAAGGTGGGTAGAGGAAGTTGGTCCCCGACTATAGATAAAGAAGGGAAGGAGAGCAAGGCTGGTGCTGGAGCTTGTGAACGAGGTATAAATTGCAAATCACAAGTGTGTTTATTTACAGAAAAATCATGAGAAGCAGGAACAGATGGGGCGCAGAGAGGTGGAGCGGCAGTGAGGCCAGGCACCTGATTCCGAGGTCATTAGCTGG